CCTTCTCTTATGTCTGGGGCCAAGTTCCTAGGGCTTTCCGCTGAGCTACAAATAAAGTTCTGTTAACCTCAACCTCTACCAACCTCTTTCCTTTGTTCCTCTATCACTTTCCTTTATGCCCTTTGGTGGTCGACAGGGGGCTCTCCCTGGTGGATGTGTTCTACCCACTGCTTCTTGGCCTGGAATGGGAATCATGACCTCTACATCCCTACCCTTCTCACTGAAGCTATGAGTCTGCTCTTTGTCCTGTGCTCCTTTCCTCGCCAAGCAGAAGGAACCACCCACACCTGGGCTTGGTGGTCCAGTTGTCTCCTGTAGTCATTGTATCTGGGTTGTCTCAATATCCCTTTTCTGATCTTTGAACTTTTTCCACATCTGTGTAATTGACTACCTTACATAAAATTCCCTCTGGTAAAATTTCTAGGGTAGGCCAGGTGCAGTGACTTACACCTACAATCCCAGCATTTTGGGAGGCTGAGGTGGGAGGATCACTTGAGCTTAGGAGTTCAACATTAGTCTGGGATTCAACATTAGCCTGGCAAGGCGGCTGGGGCAAAACCCCATCTCCACAAAAAATACAAAAGTTAGCTGGGCTTGGTGGCACATGCCTGTAGTCCCAGGTACTCAGGAGACTGATGTGGGAGGATCAATTGAGCCCAGGATGTGGAGATTGCAGTGAGCTGAGATCATGCCACTGCACTCCAGCCTGGGTGACAGAGTGAGACCCCATCTCAAAAAATAAAATAAAATAAAGCTATCAAAAAAATGAGAGGAAGGGAGAGATCTTATCCGTCAATGAATAATCCTATCAGTTTTCACTAACATTTAATGAGATCCAAAGAATGCAAAAACAGTAAATGTATTTTTAAAATTTCCCATCTGTGAAAACCACCATCTTATAATTTGACCTTGGTATTCTTTTCTGTTTAATCATCTAATCATTTAATCATTATAGATGTAATAATCTATAGGTAGCTTTTTAAAAAAAGAGATATTAATTGAAGGCCAGGCGTGGTGGCTCATGCTCTAGCACTTTGGGACGCCACAGTGGGAGGATGGCTTGAACCCAGGAGTCTATAACTCCTGAGCAACATAATGAGACCCCACCCCTGCATAAAACACAAAAATTATCCAGGTCCCAGCTACTCAGGAGGCTGAGGTAGGAGGATCACTTCAGCCCAAGAATTCAAGGCTATAGGAGGCTGTGATTGTGACACTGCACTCCCACCTGAGATACAAAGCAAGACCTTGTCTCAAAAAAAAAAAAAAAGATAGTATTTGGAAGCTGGGAAACTGCAAAAGGTGTCATGTGCCTGTAAGTTACTTGGGAGGCTGAGTCAGAAAGACTGCTTGAGCTTAGAAGGAATTCAAATCCAGTCTAAGCAGCATAGCAAGACCCCTGTATCTAAAAATCAATATTAAAACGACACTGATTTGGAAGCTCTACACACAAATCTATTTTAATTCTAAAATTTCAACTAAATAAGTGTTTTTATCCTTACTCAACTTTCCTCTACAAACAACTCAGGCTCTTGGAAGGCAATAAACAGAAAGCAAAGTAAACAGGAACTCTGTACTTGTTTATTATTTCAATTTTTTAAAGTCCATGCCATGGCAAAATCTTTAGGCACCTCCTTAAAAAAAAAAAAAATTCCACATTTATTTTGGAGATAAACTTGTGAATCAAATCAAATTTTTAAAATGGAAATTAGACAAAGCCATACACAGAAACTAACTGGCTATAATGGCTATTCTCTAAGTTAAAAAACCTGGGCATTTATAAAGTTTACTTTTAAAAAGCATAGCATCAGCTCTCAACTTACACAAGTAATTCACTAACATTTCTTCCTAAAACTATCCCCAGAAATAAGAGGCTCTGGACAATATGCTAAATAAATAATATACTGAACCATGTAAATACACATACTCAATGTTTGTTTATGACTGAATAGTTTACATTTATGACTGGATAAGTTACACACAATATGCTGTGTTGGCAATATACTTTCTCGTGAAATAAGCCCTGGAGAAAGAGCCAGAAGACTTGCTTATATTCCTAACTCCATCAACATCAGGCTGTATCACCTGGGCCAAGCCACTTATGACTTACCCTATCTACCTGAAAAATGAGGAATAATAATATCTGTCTATACTAGCTTACAACTAAAATAATAACCATAAAAAAACAAAGCTGTAGACAGACATTATATACATGTATTGAATGGCAACTTCTTTACCCAAAAGAAAAAACTTTTTATTTTTTTTATTTTTAGATGGAGTCTCACCCTGTCGCTGTTGCCTACGCTACAGTGCAGTGTTGCAATCTTGGCTTACTGCAGCTTTGGCCTCCCGGGTTCACGTTCTATTTCTAGTAGAGACAGAGTTTTACCATGTTGGCCAAGCTGGTATTGAACTCCTGACCACAAGTGACCTGCTGACCTTGGCCTCCTGAAGGGCTGGAATTCCAGGCGTGAGCCACCATGCCCAGCTCTCAAAGGAAAAATCTTAAAAGTTTTAAAATGCCTCACTGACTGATCTTGAAGAAGACAGAGTAATAGAGAAGACAGAACAAGGCTTTTAAAATAAGATAATCTAGACTTCACCACCTGCTTGTGATCTTGGGCAAGTCTATGTAGACTCTCTAACTTTGAATTTCCTCATAAGTAAAATACAAACATTTACCTCTTAGAGGTTGTAGTGAGTATTAAATGAATAAAAATATCTCAATTGCCTAACATACTGCCTTAAGTATTCAAAGAAAGTTTCTTTCCCTTGGAGTTTATGGTTACATTAAAAATCATACTCCCTCTTGGATTCACACAAAAACCTGATTTCAAGACAAGCTATAAAGCACATACTGGCTCTTCTACCTCTTAAAAACAAAAGAAAACCAACTTTTTTAAATTGCAGATAATTAGTACAGTTTTTGTTTTTGATAATCTCTGGTCATTTACTATCAACACATGTATCAGTGAGGTGGGTATTTATTTCCTACCAAAAAGTTCAATATCTCATGAGAATGTTGCTTTATGGAGTAATTTCTTTAAACTATAGTATTTGATACCTCCTTTCTTTGTTAAGGGACGGACTAACAATTTAACTCAGTTATTTACATGGACTATATTCAACTTTATTATGAAAACCAAACATACAAAACAAAAATCCTTTTAACTGCCTGCATATACCATTTCTAGCATTGTGCCTGCTACTTTCAGTAGTAAGCCTATGAGAAAGTATACAAAGAGCCCTCTTTTGTTTTCCTCTGGTTAGTAGATACACAAGAGGAATTTTCAGTTATGTTAAATCCACAATGATTTCAAAGCTAAAGAAAAAGGTTAGGAAGGAAATAGTTGAAAAATATCACTCAATAACAACTGATTTTCTCATGGAGACATATGATTCATTCCTTCAAAAAAAGCAAGTGATATCACCAAATTCCTACTCTGATCAAAGTTTAACCCCAAATATTATAGTAACTTTATGAGAAATCAGTTTAATACTGAATTTCTAGTCATAAAATATATTAAACAAAAAGTATAATCTGTGACAGGAAAGATGGAATGTTTCCAGGGTAGAAGAAATTTCTACAGTTCACCTGTAGCAAATGCTATTAATTGAATGATACATCCAATATGTGCTCAGAATCCAGTTGCTGAACCCACAAATGTTTTGCATAGCAAAAATTTTGGCACAAAATCGGTAATAACATCTATTCAAAAATAAAACTGGAGTGATATTTAACAGTGTAAAACTTTCTAAACTAAGAAAAAAATGACCATAAAGGAAGTTCATCTGGTTTGCTTTCTAGATAAGGGTTTTGATAGAATTGAATGCTTTTGAACAGACAGCAAACTAACAATTAAACAAACAGAAGTTGATAAGAGACTCTGGAAATCGGCCACATTTACTCTGGATGAAATTCTTTCTGACACTTTAAAAGAGAGGAATGGGGGTATAGGTCTAGTTTATCATCATTTTCATCTAAAAACCATTAATCATTAAAGGTGGTACAGGTACTAAAGAGAATTTTGCTTCCATCCTAAATATATGGTTTCTTATAAGATACAGCACGTTTTGCAGTTCATGGTGAATCTCCTGATGTTTTTTGCAAGAGTACTTTCTTGCTCTCCAAAACGATCTCATTCCTAACCTGATGTTTCTGTTTGCCTCATCTGCACTTAGCAGATCATGCTTCAGTGACTTAGAAATCCCGGCCACCAAAATTCAAGCCAAAGTTTGAATTGAAAGGAAAGGGGGTGGAAATCAAGTAATTAAATTACACTTGGAAGAGAGATTGGTTTTACCTCCTATGACTTTATACAGTGTTCTTTAATCCAGAACCAGAGTCTCCAATTTTAAGGACACAAAAGTTATGAATTTATTTTTAACTTAAGCTTATAGTTATGTTATAACTATGATAATTCTCTGGGCCACATCTTCCAATTTTACCTTCTGGCCATAACACAATATCTCTAAAACTATTCCGCTTGTTAACAGAAGATACTTCAAGTAAAACAGTTCAGTACTCTGAAAAGTTGCATTATTAAGGACTGCCTCAAACTGTTACAAGTTATTATATGCTTGATTTAGAAACCAAAAGGGAAGGAGAAAAAGTCTGTAGTAAGCCTGGAGATAAAGCCTGAACAATTCAGTTTGATAACCAAATTCTGGGGTTATTAAATCAATAGCAAGTGCTAATGGTTTAAAAAATTCAGTTCTTTTCATCTTATAAATGAAAGGATAACCTTGAAAAGCTTTCTTAAAAATTAAGCAAAACCACCTTAAAAGATGTATTATCAAATATGCAATAATTTTATACAGTTAAAAGTTGAACACCTTAGGGAATTAATACATAGAAATATCTGAAAGAACAATATTAATTAACTTAAATACACAAAATCAATGCTCTATTAAAAAATAAAACAAAAAAATTAACGGCTAGCTCTTTGTTTTTGTTCTGCTAAACAGTCATCTTAATTGTTAAAAGCTTTATAACATACCTTTGTAGAATGCCATTTTCCTGGGGTATTACACCATTGATAGCTGCCTGCAAACAAGAAACAGAGAAGGCCATTTAAAGAAACAGCTAAGTGCTCACATGCAGTGGGGAACACTTTAAAAGGAAATAAGTATACTTTGAAAAATTTATTTAAATACGAAATTTTTTTAGTGATCCAAATGTTCTCTATTAAATGTTTCTCTATTTCTCAGTTATAAATCATATTTTAGAAAATTTAAAAACATGTATTTGGCATATAATATCCCCAAACCTTGAGTCATAAAAAAGTCTAGTTCCACAGTCCTAATTCAGGCAAAACACCCACAAAAAACAAAGTTTAAGGATGTCAAAACAGGAAAAATCAGCAACTTAATCTTACAAACATTATTTCCTTTCTCAAACTGAGAAAAGCAAGATAAAAAATCACAAATGAATGTACTATTTTATGTTATGATCATTATTCTTAAAGAAAAGAACATTGAAAAGAAATGAATACAGAGGCAAAAGTCCTTCAGTAAACCTAACACCATGACTATTAACAGGTGACAACAGGAAGTAGCATTAGGAAAGGTTTCCTTATATAAAACATCCCTAAAATTAATTTCTAAGCTAACAAGTTACCAAGTCGTCAGAACATAGCACAGGTATGACAGGAGATGGATGTTTTGAAGGCTATTAAGGAAGCAGGCTGTCAAATCCTGGACTGTAGACAGATTATTGCAGGGGAGTAGAGAATATTCTCAGGAAAACAAAACAAAAACAAACAAGAACAAAAGCCCAACTTTTCCAACTTTGTCTTTATACCATAAAAACTTTTCTTTCCCTACCCTTCTGCATGCACATCAAAATGAATAATCCACACACACAAAAAAAAAACCCGCTTACCACTTTAATGTTTTATCAGCTGCCTGGAAATCCATTGCTAAAAGGCGTTTGAGTATTTTATGAAATGTTAACTTAAATATTTGCCAGAGGTGGGTAAAATTCACACCATTGTACTGCTGAATGAAATAGAGTATAGAGTGTTTGCTATGTATTTGGGGAGTTGTAATGCTCCAGTGGAAAAAAAAAAAACACACAAAGAAATACACAGATTAATATAGAAAATAGATACCATAGAACTCTGGCAACTCTGGAGGCTCAAAAATCCTTTGAGCAAAGCAAATGCTAAAATCACTTTTCAGACACAAATATAATGGAAGTATTTCTGCCCATTACTAGGTCAACTATCCTCTTTCTGTTGATAGCAATGGTTCCATGTACATATATCTCCTTTGCTAAATAACAGTAGATGGTTAAGAGATACTCTGTAGTGCTGAAAAAGAAACAAAATACCAGAGCTTAGAAATATTTGGTTCAAATCTCTCAAAAAAAAATTTCACTGAGGAATGCCAAAGTATAATGGAAAGAACACTAAGGACTCAGAGAGTCCAAAGTGTGAAACCAGGCTCTCTCATTTATTAATTTGGTAACCCTAGTATATTCACTGAACTTATTTGAGCCTCAGTTTCCTTATCTGTATAATACGTAATTGTATAATCAGCTAAACATTACATACTCAGCCACAAAAGTCCTACCTTTTTTATTTCTCGAAGGCCTGTCTAGCACAGTGTCTGCACATTAAAGGCACTCATTAATTATTTATTAAAGGAATTAATAATAGAAGAATATAAAGAAAAGTCACCTATTCAAGACTTTAAAGTCGGCCCAGAAAAGCCTGAAAAAAATAAAGCCTCACTCTTTCAGTTGAGACTGAAGAAAGAGTGAAAAGTAGCAAGATGAGGAGGGAATTCTATGCAGAAGGAACAGTGACACGAATCCACTTTTCTCCTTTCCCAAAATCTTAGATTATTTTAAATAGTTAATTTATCTTGGAGAAGTTGGACCCTGACATCAAACAACAAACTCTGTACATAAATAAGTCAAATGTAATACAGAATAAAAGTACAATAAAAGTATAATATGGCAAAGGAATAGAAAATAGGGAAACAGATTTCTGACTGTGAGGATTAAGGAAAGCTTTAGACAAGAGGGGACACTTATTCTATACTTCAAACATTGAGAAGATATAGAATCAAAGGAAAATTCCAGATTCCAACATGTTCAATTTTGAACATGTTAACTTTCAGGTGACAGAAAGATATCATTTGTTCATATAATAAATGTGTAATAATTGCTAACTATGTACCAAAAACTAAGCTATGCAATTAAGATACAGTGATGAACATAACACAGCTTGCCTTCTAGGAAGGACAAAATATATTCAATAATTAGTTCTATTATGAAAAATTCTGCTAATACCAAAATGGAGATGTCTAAAAATTAACTGAAAAAAATCACAGCTACATTAAGTAAAGCAACATCTGTTTAAAGACAAATAAATGAAGCCCTAGAAATATTTTAATTCCCTCCCTCACTCAAGTATCTTCTTTGTTGAAGAAAAAAGAGACAAAGATAAAATGTTGTGTAAATCATTAGGAAGAAAACAAATAGGCTGGTGAGGTGGCGCACACCTGTAATCCCAGCACTTGGGGAGGCCGAGGTGGGTGGATCACGAGGTCAAGAGATCGAGACCATCCCGGTGAAGGTGGTGAAACCCCATCTCTACTAAAAATACAAAAATTTGCCAGACGTGGTGGCACGTGCCTGTAGTCCTGGCTACTTGGAAGGCTGAAGCAGAAGAATCGCTTGAACCCAGGAGGAAGAGCTTGCAGTGAGCCGAGATTACACCACTGTACTCCAGCCTTGTGACAGAGCAAGACTCCAGCTCAAAAAAAAAAAAAAAAAAAAAAGAGAGAGAGAGAGAAAGAAAGAAAAGAAAACAAAAATGTAAAGGGCAGAGAAGAGAAAGCTGGAAAATGTAAAAATACACTAAAATTAAGAGGCCTTAAGGTTATTGGAAACATTTTTAAACAGTTTAACAATAACTACATTATAAAAGGCTTAAAGATAAATGGGAAACTAAGAACAACTGACTCTCTTAAAGAAACATTTAACGTGAAAAGCATAAAGACAGAAACTGTAAGAAGAATGGCTAAGTTTTTGTTTGCTTTTTTTTTCCTTCATAAGAATATTGATTTCTTGAATTTATAGAATCCACAGGAAAAAAGAGACAAAAAAGACTCAAGAAACAGGGGTAAAATTGAAAGTTTAGTTGATTACAACACTCTTCCGATTGCCTATTCATTGCCAAGCACTATGCAAGACTTTGTGGATGGCCCAGTACCTGATCTACAGCTCAGGAGAGGGGCTCAGATAGAGGGGATACTTTTAGAAAAGAGATCAGTAAGATCTGGACTGTAGACTAAAAATTATACTGAGTTTATTATAAGACTACTTTACTTGCTAAAAACTATCTCATTGTTAATATTATTTTTGCTAGGAAGATATATCTCTCATTCTATAAATAGCAAAATGAAAGACTTATTAAATATTTGGTCAAAATAATAGAGAATGGAATCAGGAAAATATTTTCATTTCTGAGACTGACTCAAACTACGGTGGATCATGATCATACTGTAATGTATTTTAAGAAGAACATCTTGACTTGACCTAGTTTATAATCACTGGAAATTTCATTTTGGTATAACTATTATTCCCTTCATGCTAATTATGTTCATAATATTTTAATCCAATTAATGTACCTCAATCAAAATTCAGCCTCTAAATTTTGTTCAGCAAAACTGACAACACAAACACCATCCACTAAAATGTTACTTTCCATAATACACTGAAAGACATGTAACGCGTGCATAAAACACAGTGGAAGCCAATGTCAGAGATGGCCAAAGGAGCCTTAACAAAAAGGGAAAATCATGACATTCACGGTGGGCCTTAGACCTCTGGGGAAAGAAAACGGCAAAAATTTCTATAAATCTCATTATAACATCACATATGAAAGGAAACTGAGTCACTGGTAAATTGGTACATTATAAAACTGTGGCACATAATATAAATCATCCACTACATGGAATGCTAGGATATCCTTTCTCTAACATATATGGAAAAATCTTAACTTTAGTCCTTTATTGTAAACAAAAGACCCTTAAAGAAAATGGCAATGACAAATTTTTAAGAGGAATGGAGATGAGACGCGGATGTATGGACAGTATCCAAAAGCCTCAAAAATAACTTATGAGTAAAGGAGTTGTGGTAACAATAATGGCAGCTAACACTGTAACATTTTTATTAAATGTGAGGCTTTTCAAAGTACATTACATATATCAATTCATTTAACTCTCACTTACCTCAATTTTACAGAGAAGGACACCAAGAAAACAAAGAAGAAAACTGTCATAACAATGAGTAGGCAAATGATGAAAAATAAAGAATTGCTAAATTGGACATTAAAATTCAAAGTGTTTGACCTTTGAAAGATACCATTAAGAAAATAAAAAGACAAGTTGCAGACTAGGAAAAAATATTTATAATGTACATATCTGAGATAAATTTATATTAAAAATTTATAAAGAATTCTGGAGACTTAAGACAAGTCAATAAGAAAATGGGGGAAACATCTGAACAGATACTTCTCAAAAAAAGATACGTGAATGACGAAAAGCACATAAAAAGATGTTCAAATTAGTCATCAGACAAATACAAACTAAAACCACAATAAGATACCACCACACACCCAATGGTTAAGTTAAATCAGACAATACAAGTGTTAGCAATAATATCAAGCAAAAGAACATCTCATACGTTGTACAAACAACTTTCAAAATTGTGTGGTAGTTTGATACACAGGTAAATATGTGATGTAGGCAGCCGTCACCAGTGGAAGCACACAAACACTACAGCCTTGCTTCCACTGGTACTCCACTGTTAGATGTATGTGCACCCTGCCACACTGCCACAGCTGTTGAAACACACAAGCTAACATGGTCGAGACAAAGGGGACTGGCTAGCACCACCCATGGAGGTGTCATGGCCGGAGGACTGGGAACGTCTCAGACCCTCCAGTACAGCATGTTCCTAAGCTCGAGTCCAGATGGAAAGCTAGGGACCTGGTGTCAGCTCCCCCAAAGTGAGAGCATGAGGCCTAAGAC